TTTTCTTTGCTGTAGTCTATTATCTATAATTGTAGTTGATCATCAATATTTGTAGTCTATTATCTAATTATTAAAAAAATATTATAAAATATAAACTATATACAAATGTGGCGAAAGATAATCGATGACTATAGGTTGTAATATCTGAATTATTTGTTTGAAATTTAATTAATTTTTTACGGTCTAAGTCGTATGTTGCAATTTTCTCAATTTGTATGGCCGCTAAGTTATTCGGTATGAGACGTCTTTAACAAGTTTCTCCTTATAGACGCAACAGATAGAAGTAAGATTAGTAGCGATCAAAAGCGCTTTTTTATCGCATTAAGCCTATACCCCCTTTTATATTTCACAAACACTCCCTTTAAAGGGGAATGTTGTGAGTCGAAAATTCTGCTATGTAAATTGAGAATCCCAGAACTTCAGAGACATCGAAAGAATTTATAAAATGTCGTTTTCTTAACCTATTAATAATGGAATACTGCAGATATTTAGCTTTAAATTGAATTATTAAATGTTTACCTTTGCATCCTGTAGGATTATCTCAGAAACATTTCCACTTGAAATGAAAAAAGTTTTTTTCTAGTTAACCGTTTTTCTTTCTTAATTTCTAACCAAAATTAACCTAATATTCAACCTTAATTAACCTAGCCTAATTTCTAACCGTATTCCTAATCTTATTCCAAGCCTAAATTCTAACCTAAATTTACCTAATTTCCTACCTAAATTAACTTAATTTCTAACCTTATTCCTAACCTTATTCTTAGCCTAATTTTTGACCTAATTACTAACCTAATTTCTAACCTTATTCCTAACCTTATTTATAGCCTAATTTTTAACCTAACTCCTAACCTATATTCTTACCTAATTCTAAGACAAATTCCTTTGCAAATTCTTAACTCCTAACCCTACTTCTAACCTAACTGCTAACCTAATTCCTAACCTAACTCCTAACCTAATTTCTAACCTAATTCTTAACCTAACTCCTAACCTAATTTCTAACCTAATTCATATAAATTCGTATGCAAATTCCTAATCTAAGTCCAAACCTAATTTTTAACCTAAGTCCTAACCTAAATCCTAGGCTAACTCCTAAACTAATTTTTAACCGAACTCTGAACCTTACTCCTAACCTAACTCCTGCCCTAACTCCTTACCTAACACCTAACCTAATTTATAACCTAAATCTAAACCTAACTCCTAGCTTTATTTCTTACCTAATTCCTAATCTAATTTCAGATCTAATTCCTAACCAAATTTCTAACCTAACTCCTAAACTAACTTAACATAAGTCTTAACCTAATTTCTGACCAAATTCTAAACTAATTCCTAACTAAACTTAGCCAAACCTCTAACCTAATTTCTAACCTAATTCCTAACCTAATTCCAAACCTTATTCCTAACCTAAATTCTAACCTTATTCCTAACCTAATTTCATGCCTAATTCCTAACCCAATTCCTAACCTTAATTCTTAAACTAACTCCTAACAGAATTCCCAACCTAATACAAAACCTTTTTCTTAACCTAATTCCAAACCTAATCCCTAACCTAACTTCTAACCTAATTTCTAACCTAAATTCTAATCTAATTCCTAACCTAATTTCTAACCTAATTCCTAACCTAATTCCCAACCTAGCTCCTAATCTAAATCCTAACCTAGCTCCTAACCCAAATCCTAACCTAAGTTCAAACCTAATTCCTAACCTAATTTTTAACGTAATTCCTAACCTAATTCCTAACCTAATTCCTGACCTAATTCCTAACCTAGCTCCTAACCTAAATCCTAACCTAAATCCTAATCCAAATCCTAAACTAAATTCAAACCTAATTCCTAACCTAATTTCTAACGTAATTCCTAACCTAATTCCTAACCTAACTCCTAACCTAACTTCTAACCTAGCTCCTAATCAAAATACTAACCTAATCCTAACCTAACTCCAGACCTAACTTCAGACCTACCTTCTAACCTAATTTCTAACCTAATTCCTATTCTAATTTTAAACCTAAAAAGTTCTTCCTTAGTTGTTATATTTTAATAGGAGATTCTTTGATAATATTTGTTATATTTGGTTCATCATGAAACCAATTATTTGAATAGAGAATTCGACTAGTTCATAATTTGTCTTATTTTAGATTTCAAAGATACATTAAACTTCTAGAAAATAGTGAATTTTCCTGTATTTACTTTTAAAAACAAATATTTAATATTTAATATTCTATTTCAGATCAAGGATGACGACATTCTTTATAAAATCACGCGAAACAATTTTTTCGTTTAAAACGTTTCTGCAAACTAAGATATGTATGTATAATTTTTGTCTCCTCCTTCATAACATTTACAAAAAATATCAAAAAAGATATTTATATTTTTTTAAGTTTTAAATATCTTTTTTATGAGGTAAATAAAATAAACTTGTCTACTACACTTACCGTGCATCAGTGCAATTGCCTGGTACTGTAAGGCAAGCGCCTAAAATAAATACAAAACTATGTAATATAATCTATATAATAATTAGCTCTTCGCTCATATTTATATATTTGCATATTGTATATATACACATACATTTATATATAATATATGTTAGCTATAGCTGGCCAAACGGATGGACAGAATGGGCTAAATGCTTTTGAGTGAACCCATCTTGATACACTTTAAAATAAGTTTTAACATCAGACTTTGAAAGGTTTTTGAATTTCTTTATAAACAATCCACAATTTGAAGAAAAAATCAGAGTAAAACATTGAGCTACAAAACATTTTTAAAATTAATTTTCAATTTGATAAATCAAGATATATCTACAGTATAAAATATCAAAAATGTAATATGGACTATCTAAACTGTTGGTATCAAAATGATGTGGTCTTAACTGTATGGTGTGCCTGTCTATGGGTGTGTTTCTTTACCCTATTCCCGCTGGGGGGGGGGTCAATTTGACCCCCCCCCCTGTAGTTTTTTTACATAACTCAAAAAGTATTGGTCTGAGGCTGTTGAAATTTTCTGACTTTTCTTACATACCCAAAGCCCTCCCTTTAGGCCTAAAACCGGGCTTTAATACTAACTGCCTGAGTCCTCAGGCACACTGCCTGAATGACTGCTTTTGCCTGTAGCAAACTAAATCTTTATTTTGACCCACTTTCACTTGTCAGATTTTGATAAAATTTAGCTTTTTGGAAAGCCTATGACATAAGGAAACGGATTGCACAAGTTTTGCGAAAAAAAATGCAAATTTTTTGCAAACAACCTGTCAAAGGAAATTTGCACGTTTTTAGTTTTTCTTGATTAAAAATCAGGTTATTTTATATTTTGCAAAAATTTTTGCATATTTGAAATGGCATGGTCAAGGGCTTTTCAAAAATGTATAATTTGTCATTTTTTGGACAAATTTTTTTTGCAAACATTTTTACTATAAAACTGGATTTTGCGATAAAAAATTCAATTTTCGCAAATTTGCAAATTTTTTTGCAGATTCTAAAAGTAGAGCACAAGAGCTTTCTAATGATGTATCATTTGTCATATTTGGACATAAAACATGGGATTTAGAGGGGGGGGGGGGTCAAATTGACCCCCCCCCCAGCGTATCCTGGTTTTCAAGTACCCCAGCGGGGATAGGGTTTATATATCATGACAGTATGCTTTATGGCCCCCCTAGCCAGTCAAGAAAAAGTTGCCATACCATTTGTTAAAAAATTCGAAAATCCGCCAATATAAAACGAACATTTTCGAAATCTTCAAAATTGTTTTATGATGCACTAAAGTAAAAGCTTTAGTATAAACCAAAACACCGAGATTACTACTGGAAAGGGCGGCATTATGGACTTGATTGACTTGAACTTAAAAACATGAATTTGAAAAACAGAAAACTATGTATCTTTGGGACTTTTCTCATTTTTTTTCAGAAAGCGTGTTCTTTTGGATTTAAAATTAGTACTTTTTGCATTTTTCATGAATCCTACATTAAATTCCCTACAGTTTTTTTTATTTAAATGAATTTTCCATTCTCCCCATACCTGGTTTTGTTCAGATAACTTAACTGTTTGTGAATCTTTTTTTTGAATTTTTCCAACTTTATGATTTAAGACACATTTTGCGATTTTTTTTTTTGCATATTAGCATTAGTCCATTTTTAATGAGTTGGTCTTGAAAAGTTGACTAAGTACACGTCTCTCATCTCTAAGGGCAAACTAATGGGGGCCCCCTATCTATACAAAACCAAATTAGCCCAAATTAAGATTAGGTTAAACTTAAGCAAGCTCTCAGCTGCAATTAGTTTTGAATAAGTAAATAATCTTTGCAGCTGATAATGCTAGAGAAGTGAGAAAAAATAATAATTTGTTTATTACACCAGGTTTCAGATTACTCAAATATTTTAAAGATAACGAGTAAATAATTTGTTCTTCAGAGCTCTAAGAAAAATGCAATTCGTAAAAAACAGACATTTTGGTATAATTTTGTAAATGGATTTTTTCTTTAAACTGTAAACTGTAAACTGTAAAATGTAAACTGTAAACCGTAAACCGTAAACTGTAAACTGTAAACTGTAAACTGTAAACTGTAAACTGTAAACTGTAAACTGTAAACTGCAAACTGTAAACTGTAAACTGTAAACTGTAAACTGTAAACTGTAAACTGTAAACTGTAAACTGTAAACTGTACACTGTAAACTGTAAACTTTAAACTTTAAACTGTAAACTGTAAACTGTACACTGTATAAACTGTAAACTGTAAACTGTAAACTGTAAACTGTAAACTGTAACTGTAAACTGTAAACTGTAAACTGTAAACTGTAAACTGTAAACTGTAAACTGTAAACTGTAAACTGTAAACTGTAAACTGTAAACTGTAAACTCTAAATCTTTTCATTGGGGTTAACCGGAATAATAAAATTTTAGCGCACAATTGTATTTGATAGATGTTGCGCTGCCTTGAAAATACAATTGCGAAACTGACATAGCTTTAGTTCTTACCTTTGCAAAATATGCGCAATAATTTTGCGTTCATCTAAAGTTCAGAAAATAATAATTAAAGAATTTACCTTAATGGACATTGTACAACTTAAAATGGACAAAAAAATCACAATAATGTAGACAACAGACATGCAAAGAAAATTAGCTGATGGACATTCCATGACATTCCACTCACGCTCTGGTGCGCAGCATAAATACAATTTGAGCTTGTTGAGCTGATTTGCGCAAAATTGTTATCAAAATTGCGTAAAATTTGCGAATATTTATTTTCGATTGAAACCCAAAAGTTTTCAGTAAATAGTAAATGTATTAATTTGCAATTAGTTCGTTGAAATTATGGTGAATCATACGTTTTGTTAAAAAGGTCACTACATTTAATCACTTATACATATGCTAACCTATGAGTGCTAAACTAAATGTTTGTAATGAAAACATATCAGCAAACTGAACTGAAATAGTAGAAGTATTATTTCGAGATGTTTTCTTTATTTTCTTTATTTTCATCTGATTTTCTTAATGAGCTCCCGAGCTTGGTAAGGTAAACAATGTAGACATTTTGTTTTTATACAGGGATACAGGGATACAGGGATACAGGGATACAGGGATAAAGGGATACAGGGATACCGAGATACAGGGATACGGGGATACAGGGATAAAGGGATAAAGGGATAAAGGGATACAGGGATACAGGAATACAGGGATAAAGGGATACCGAGATACAGGGGTACAGGGATACAGGGATACAGGGATAAAGGGATACAGGGATACAGGGATACAGGGATACAGGGATACAGGGATACAAGGATACAGTGATACAGTGATACAGGGATACAGGAATACAGGAATACAGGGATAAAGGGATACAGGGATAAAGGGATAAAGGGATACAGGGATACAGGGATACAGGGATACAGTGACACAGTGATACAGTGATACTGGGATACAGGGATACAGGGATACAGGGATACAAGGATACAGGGATACAGGGATACAGGGATACAGGGATAAAGGGATACAAGGATAAAGGGATACAGGGATACAAGGATACAGTGATACAGTGATACAGGGATACAGGAATACAGGAATACAGGGATAAAGGGATACAGGGATACAGGGATACAGGGATACAGGGATACAGGGATACAGGAATACAGGGATACAAGGATACAGGGATACAGGGATCCATAAATACAGGGATCCAGGGATACGGGGATACAGGGATGCAATGATACAGGGATACATGGATACAGGGATACAGGGATACAGCGATACAGGGATACAGAAATAAAGAAATACAGGGATACTGGAATACAGGGATACAGGTAGGGCTGGGTACGTTCCAACTTTTTCTAGCCGTTTGGTTAACTGTTAGTTACAACTGTTAAAACAATGTAGACATTTTGTTTTTATACAGGGATACAGGGATACAGGGATACAGGGATACAGGGATACAGGAATACAGGGATACAGGGATACAGTGATACAGTGATACTGGGATACAATGATACAGGGATACAGGGATACAGAGATACAGGGATACAGGGATAAAGGGATACAGGGATACAGGGATACAGGGATACAGGATTACAGGAATACAGGTATACAGGGATACAGGGATACAGGGATACAGGGATACAATGATACAGGAATACAGGGATAGAGGAATACAGGGATACAGGAATACAGGGATACAGGTAGGGCTGGGCACGTTCCAACTTTTTCTAGCCGTTTGGTTAACTGTTAGTTACAACTGTTAAAAAATAAAAATTTCAGCTAGCCGTTAATTTTAAAGGGAAGAACGGAATGTTCATTCCGTTAACAACATTTTCTGTTCTTTTAAAATTACCGTTAGTTACGATCTCAATTTAATTACAGACTTTAACGGAAAAATTTCAACAATCGTGAACCGCTCTGGCCGTTAATGGTACCGTTCTTACAAAATGAACGGCGTCAAAAGCAAGAAGCACCAAAAAAAATTTAACAGTCAAACAAATCGGCATAGCCATTAACGGCATATTACAGTATTGCCGGCGTTTATTTTTGCTAAAGGTTTAAAAACACAGAAGACGACATTTATAAACATGAAAACGCATAAAATTTTAAAATTCAATATTTTTAGTTAACAATTTTAACCGTTAATCTTTTTTCAAAAAGAGCTAATCCGTGTTGTTAATTTTTTGAAATTTGTTTTGCCATTTGTTAACAAACTCTTCCTTTAATTTAACGGTGTATTACAGTGTTAACGGCGTTAACGGTGAAAAAAATCGTTATATAAACACAGAAGACGACATTTAAAAACATCAAAACGCGTGAAAAATTTTCCTTTTAAAATAAAACTCCAAGCAATTTTAATCAGAAAATAACGAAATTTACCGTTTTTAGCTTTTAAGTTAACGTTTTTGACCATTAATTTTTTTTTCAAAAACGGCTATTTCGTTTCGTTTATGATTTAAAAATCAACGGTTTTTGTCGTTCTTTAACGGAATCTTCCGTTCATTTTTGAAAACTTCCGTTTCGTTAACGGAACTTTGCCCAGCCCTAGATCGACACAGGGATATGCAGAGAACAAAAATTTTCAGAACAAAAAAATTTTCTCATGAAAAAGGGTATTGTTCAGAAAAAACGAAGATTGGACGAATGAAAGGGATCGTTCAGAGAAATAAAAAATATCGTTTTTTAAAAACAAATGATTTAAAATTGTTTGAACGAACTTGAAAAAACGAATGAATTTTCCAAAAGATTTTTTAAAAACTATTTTTTTAACGAACAATTGTTTCAAACAAACTTTTTAAAAAACAATAGTTTTTACTAAACTAACAACTTTATAAAACAAATATTTAAAAAAAACCATTGTTTTTTTTTCCTGAACGTAAAATTTTATGAAATGAACATTATTACTGAACAAACGATCTTAGTTAACAATCGCTCAGTGAAAAAACGAACGAAATAGATAGAAAATGAACTATAATTTTAAGAACGAACGGAATATATATTTATTTTTTGAACGATGAACAAACGAAATGAAAAAAAAATCCAACGTACCTTTTTCTAGCGGGGATACAGGGGATACAGAGAAGCCAGAGAGAATTTTATGATTTCATAGATTTAAGGCTTTAGCAAGGAAAATTAAAAAATGTTTTGACCCTTTAAACCCCGACCCCTATGTTTTTTCTTCATACCTTAAAAACAGCTTACACCTAGAATTCTTCACTTCCTGAACAAATTTTCCAAACAGAAACTTTTCTTTTTGATGCATAGGGTAGGATGGAGGATGACAAAACCGATGATCGCTGTTTGGATGTAATAATTAACATGTGTCACATGTTAACATCTACCAAAAGTAAACATTTATATTTTGCAACATTCTTCCAATGTAATTTTTGAACTCCCCCCCCCCCCTTCCCCATAACATCAAGATTGATTGAAATTGGATTGCAGGCATTTAATTGTATTTCTAAAAACATCTCTTCATTTCATAAATATTGTTCAATTTTCAGCAATTGATATTTTATTTAAATTTAATTACAATTAACTATGTTTAATTACCATCAAGTCAGTGTAAACACATTTCCCTTTCTGTGAAAATGCGTTTTCAGGCTCTTTATAAGCTTTTTTTTCCGAAAAAAAAAAGTTTTTAATGTTTTATGGGTCGTGTCTGTTCCCCTACTAACCTTCTTATCTTTTTATATCAATACATAAAAAAATGATAATAATGAATATAATGATGATAGAATCTAAAAAATAAGATAATAATGCTAGTGATAGTAATAACAAAATACCAAAAATGTGTCCCAACCCAATTCCAACTTATTCGCTAACAATTCGTGCGGTAAACCAAAGGCTAAGACGTTGCGACACTTCAAAGCAGACCCAGTCTTAAAAATTTATAAAACTTTACATAGCAGCCGGGAATTATGTGACTTCCTTTTCTTAAGCTCGATGTCATCATATATATCATGTATATCATGTATATCATGTTTATCATGTATATCATGTATACCATGTATATCATGTATATCATGTATATCCTGTATATCATGTATATCATGTTTATTTTGTATATCATGTATATTTTGTACATCATGTATATCATGTATATCATATATATCATGTAATATTTTTTATATCATGTATATTTTGTACATCATGTTTACCATGTATATCATGTATATTATATATATCATGTATATCATGTATATCATGTATATCATGTTTATCATGTATATCATGTATATCATGTATATCATGTTGTTATGTATATCATGTATATCATGTTTATCATTTATATCATGTAATATTTTGTATATAATGTATATTTTGTATATTTCTTAAACCCTATTAGTAGACTAAATTGGAAACCCTTGAAACCTTTTCGTTAACTTACCCTGTTCTTACACTTGACATATGTTATAGAAAAATTATTTTTACGTTTTTCGTACGGGTAATAATTTAAAAAAATTGAATCTTGTGCATGAGCATGACCCTCAGAATTATCCGGTCTCGAGATTTTTTATAATAGCGAGTTTTATTATAATATCCATATATACTTTGCTTGTCTGTCTGAGTGTCTATTTTGGTGTTTCTTTGTTTGTATCCTATAAAGTTCTAAACGGCTGAATTGATCGCACTGTTAGAAAAACTTCTTCTGTCCCGTGCAATATATACAATTTGTGAGGTTACACTGCAATATATTGCATGGTTCAACAATTATATTAGTTGCGACGTTTATCTCGGAAATTGTTCTCCCAGCCTATTTAAGTGTTGTCCCGTGCAGAATAATTGATTTCCCGTGCAATATATCTGCTGTCACGGAACTTGCAAACTTTCTCCAGCTAATATAAGTTACGCGACACAAAATTATTATTACGTCTCAGTAGCGATTTCTCCCGTGAATTAAATGATTTTGTGCGTATTCTAATCCGTACACTTTAATCTTTCATATATGCTTGCGCACCAATTATTTCTTCTGTGACGATAATTATATTTAGTTCATATGTAATAAATACAGTGCCTATCATATAACTATACTGACATTTGAACATACCTGTTTCTTTTGTAAAATCAATAATCTGTCTTCAAGTCTTGAGCTAAAAGTCTAAAAGCCCGAATAAAAATTTCAAACCGGTTTTGAACCAGTTTTGGGCGTGCGCTTGTTTTAAATTTGATTCGCTGGTGTCAACTTGAAACTGGCGGCTCGGTCCGGGGATCAAATTTGATGTGATCCATTAATGGATACAATACAATTGTATTTATAACTGGGATCACGCATGGATCAAATTTGAAACTAGCGAAAAACAAATGAATATAAATAATAAATATATATGGGGGTTTTCACAATAAAATGACATGACATCACGTGATTAAAAGATGAAAATGTTTTGCCAAATTAAAATTTATAATTTTGATTCACATACATGTCGGCCACCTCTCCCCCTTCCCCTCCCTGTATAATGCCCTTTTCCTTTCTTGTTTGAAGT